TAATAAATACTTCTAGGATTAACTGGGTAAGTACCAAAGAAAATAAAAAGTTACCTGCACTCTCTCCTTAATCCCTATGTATATTTAGACAAATGGAGGTCATGTAGTTGCTCCAATGGCCATTGGAGGGAATGCCTGCCTGCCAACGTCAAGGCAGACCCCCTAAGCGGGTCCTAACACTGACCATTCAACCTGCTTCCTTAAGCTTCTGGCAAAGATATCTCTAATGAGACAGAGAGGGGTATTTTTTATATACACCCCTATATACTTATTAACCCTTAATAGGGAACACATGGGATGGGCAGCAGCATTGTAACAAGGCTGTGTTATACAAAGTAAATACAAATACAAAAAGAGAAGTCCTGCGCTCACTCCCATCACTACTGGGCCGGCAGCAATGACTACAGTACACATCAGCCCCAATAGTAAAAACCAAAGAAAATAAAAAGTTACCTGCGCTCTCTCCTTAATCCCTATGTATATTTAGACAAATGGAGGTCATTTAGTTGCTCCAATGGCCATTGGAGGGAATGCCCACCTGCCAACGTCAAGGCAGACCCCCCTAAGCGGGTCCTAACACTGACCTTTCAGACTGCTTCCCTAAGCTTCTGGCAATGATATCTCTAATGTGTTCCCTATTAAGGGTTAATAAGTATATAGGGGTGTATATAAAAATACCCCTCTCTGTCTCATTAGAGATATCTTTGCCAGAAGCTTATGGCCATTGGAGCAACTAAATGACCTCCATTTGTCTAAATATACATAGGGATTGAGGAGAGAGCGCAGGTAACTTTTTATTTTCTTTGGTTTTTACTATATATTGGGGCTGATGTGAACTGTAGTCATTGCTTCCGGCCCAGTAGTGATGAGGGTGAGCGCAGGACTTCTCTTTTTGTATTTGTATTTACTTTGTATCACACAGCCTTATATATAAACAAAAGTAGAAAGTCTCTTGCACTCATGCTTAAATTTCCCTTAATTACTGGGTGCTCTGGTATCTAAAGAAGTAGCAGCACTCACGGAGTTAAAAAGTCCAATCTTTATTTTAAATTGTTAAAATCACAATCAACGTTTCAGTCTTTTGTCCAGGACTTTCATCAGGATCAATAAATGTATTGATCCTGATGAAAGTCCTGGAGATAGGACTGAAACGTTGATCGTGATTTTAACAATTTAAAATAAAGATTGGACTTTTTAACTCTGTGAGTGCTGCTACCTCTTTGGATATGTGTATATATATTTATATATATTAAAAAGTGACAGTAGGAGCTCATTATTTTACACACACGCTGTATGGGTGAATTGTGTTGCATTTTTTTAAAGTGTGCACATGAGATTTAATGGTTGATGCCACCTTTCATGGGCAGTACGTAGGCATTTTAAAACAGTTTTGGTGAGTTTTTATTTTTTAATTTTTATTTAAGAGAAGGGTTAATAAATCTGCTAAAATGTTTTGGGGAAGCACTGACCTTATATTTTGGGAAGTATTTCTGTCAGCAATTGAGCATTCCTTCTAGGATACTGAAATTTTGAAGCTGGTAGCATTCATGACCCTCTCCTTTTGCCATGTCTGCTGTGGTGTCAGTTACTATATATCTAAAGTGCTTTCCTGAATGACTTTCCACTATTTAAATCTTAATATATTTAAAATCAAACTTTTAGTGACCTTTCACCTTCAATTCTAACACCTGATATTTCTCTTGTAGTCTATAATGCCACAATTTCACAAACTGTCCAAACAACTACTTTCGCATTACATCTAGTTTTGCACTGTTCATCCTCTTCCCATATTCAGTCAATTACGAAATCCTGCCTTTCAATTTAGGACCAAACCCAGGGGTCATCCTTAGCTGCAACTAAAATGCCAATCCACTTTAAGAGATATCTGTATTACTGTCGCTCAGTAGTTACATCTACTGCATACCTCATCTCCAATTGACAATAAAAACCTCTACAAAATTCACTTACCTTTCTCATTCATCTTCTATTTTCAGGTACTGCTAGTCTCTCAAAAGGCTCCCTTCAGTTCCAGAATAAACATCTTGACCCTTGACTGCTGAGCACCACTATATCTTTATTCTCCCCAAATATTTTCTTAATAGATCTCTATTCTTTTCTCACTACCCACTCCAGTCTCCAGTGCTTTCCCAATCCTCTGCAATATGTTTAATTGGTTATACTATCATATAGTATATATTTCAATGTCCAAATTGTCTTTCCCTCATGGCTTGAGCAATCACGTGATTCATGTTAAAATGTGCAGCTTTCCACGGGTAAGTTCCTTAGTACATTTATTTAATATAGAGTTTCTTTTCTGTAATAGCAGCTCAGATACACATGCTTCTAAATATAATTTTGGCACACCTTTAACAGTTTTATTTTTGTGTTGGGATCTAGTAAATCATTGCAGCAAAACTAGAGAATGTGAATCTCAGAACTGTTTTTGCTCACTTGTAAGTCTGCATCTGAATTACGCTTTCAGCTTAGGAAGAGCTCAAACAAATGCATTGCAACAAAAACCGAGAATATAAGAACTCTGAGAACAAGCAAAACCTTAGAGAAACTCAGTAGCTTGCCATTCTATTAGTCCCTGCTAAGGTTTTAAAAATGTTTTTGCTTACTTGTGCCATTACAAAGAGAACTTACACCATTTGCATATTGGACTGATCCCACCCATAAGGGCAGTCCAGAACCGAAATGTTAGCAATATTTCCTTGCACGAAAGATACAGCAATCATTGACAATAATTAAGGCATTCTTTGAGCCTTGTCAGAGAGGTGTAGCTGATACCCTTTAAAGCACAGTGAGCTTGGGGTCCATGTCTAGATTGCCCTTTCAGCTGAGGGAGAGCACAAGCAAATGCACTGCAACTCAAGCAGAGAATATAACAATTCTGAGAATGGATAAAAACTCAGTGAAACCTCAATAGCTTTTCCTCCAGTTAGTCCTTGCTCAGGACTCAAGAATATTTTTGCTTTCCTGTAACATTACAAAGAAAGTCTATACAATTTACATTTTATGGATGATCCCTTTCATACGCGCATTCCAGAATCAGAATACCAGTTCTGTCTACACAAGAGATACAGCAACACCGGACAATCATTTTGACATTCTTTTAGCCTCATCAGTGAGGTGTAGCTGATACCCCTCTAGTCACAGTGAGCATTGGGTCCATGTCTGGATTACCCTTTCAGTTTAGGAAGAGCCCAAGCAAATGCATTGTAACAAAAACTGAGAATATGAGATATATAGTTACTTGCCCTTTGGTTAGTCCCCGTTCAGGTCTCAAAAATGTTTTTGCTCACTTGCGCTATTGCAAAGAGAAACTATACCATTCGCATATCAGACTTATTCCACCAATAAGGGAAAGTCCAGAATGGAAATGTAAGCTTTTGCCCATTCTCGGAGTTCTCATAATTTCAGCTTTTGTTGTAGATCTTGTAAATCAACCTGTATATTTTGCTCCCTAAAATGTACTTAAAAGTAAATTTCCTATCAGTAATGAAGAAATTTTTTTATTTGAGAACATATATTTCCATTTCATATCTCTGACAGCCGCCAATAGAAGTGGAGAGTACAAAATATAAACAGTGCTGCCATTTTTCAGAAATGTCGCCATTTTCATTTACAAGGCTGCAAAGCTTTTTGTCACAGTTCTACCCCAAAATAACTTCATTATACAAAATTTAAACATTCTTTGTATTTAAACTGTCCCATTTAAAATATAATTTTACTAAACAATCTAATATGTATTATGCCCACTCTTACAAACATGAAGAGATGACTGTGATTCCTATTTACACATTTCCCTATACATATTCCTATACAGGTTTCCTATATACACATTTTTATATGAATGCTGTATATACTATACAGATATGTTATACACTCTAATACCAAGAAAAAGCCTTTGAAAATATTAAAATGTCAGATTTTTAGAGGTCATGTTCCATAAACATGTTCAGACAAATCAGAGTTCCATTTATCCATGTTATTTGTCCACAGGAAAGGTCAAGAAAGTAGAGTAAAAGGCAAATACCACTAAATTATATAATATATAGCATGCTGCAGAACGTTCATCAAACACAATCCTAATGTCAAATGTAAGCAAGAAAAATAAAAAAAGGAGCAGGAAAATAAATTAGTTTAAAAATGTAATTATGTAATGAAAACAAGAATTGTGTGACCTATATTATCTTTGATATAACAATAGTTTTTTCAATACCCATGTTTGTAAACCAATAATAGCAGCAAGTAAAATATATAATTACATGAACTAACGTAAACCTCAATATCAATGTTCTGCTATGTGTATTAAGTTATTAAGATAGTAATTGTAAAACATTCAGGAATATTCACTAAAGTGAGAATTTTTGGGACTTCAAAATTAATTTAAAATTTAAGGCCAAACCATCTGAAGGGGAAACATACCTGACGTGGAGAATGTTTCCAGTTCAGGCTATTATATTATAAAATTTTACATTTACATTGAATTCATGTTTGACTTCCTCACAATGTTTGCTTTAGTGAATAACCCTTAAATTGTTATACCTGATTTATATGAAAAAGGTTATACTGCTAGTTTAAAATCCAATGCTACTGTCATTATGGTGATTTAGGCTCCATACAATAAACTACTATAGAATAATTGCTTTAACTAAACCAACCATTCTTAAACTTGCACAATTCATCCGAATTTTGGCAAATCAATGGGTTGTTCAAATTACATTACTCTGAAGTGTCATTTAAATTTAAAACAATTTCAAACAAAAACAGAGCGCAAGAGAACACTGAGAACAAACAACAACTCAAACAACTTGCCCTTTGGTGGGTCCTCACTCAGTTCTCAAACTAGATTTAACTTATCTTGCGCAATTACAGAGGGAACCTAAACCATTTGTGTTGTGGAAATAAGGTCTACACATATTTCCTAGTTAGTGAAAAATGTCTATTTACTCATTCCACGATATATATCAATATAGCTAAGCACACATATTATAATTAAGATGGCTGCTGGAAGCTTCTAGCTCCTTCCCCCCCCCTTCCCTTCCTCCCTCCTAACATCGACTAACTACCTCGTGTACCAAGATGGCGCCGGTAAACCGTGGGAGACCCTCATGGCCCCGGTGACATCACCTGCAGTAGGCAGAGCATTGAAGCAACCACTTAACACCTAACCAATTATTGATGTATTATTCCATGTTATCTCTGACAATGCTTATGATGTAATTTTGCTTTAAAAGGGACTTGCCGTCCCCTCTGAATAAACTTTCCTCAAGTTATTCAACAACCTAGAACCTGTGTCTGGTGTGAATTACTTCAGGGAGCGTGCACGCATTGTTTCATTGATTTGGCCAGGGGCAGATACACAAAGAAATAATCAATACTTTAATTGATTTTTCCATTTCAATTGGCGCCCAACGTGGGGCCACCGGAGGGCCGGTTCGGAGGGCCGGAACCAACGGACCGGAGCGGACCTCTGGAAAGTGGGACAAGCGGAGCCTGATCACCTCCATAATACAGCCGTTGCCTGTGTTATTCTCCTGTTTTGTGTCGGTCTGTCTCCGAGTCCACTTCCGGCTTCCAGAAGGCTACTAGAGACAGGTAATTAACTCATCCGGTGTGCCTTTTTAAGGTGAACCTGTCAGTTGTCTATCTGCCTCCTGTATTCATCTGTGTGTGTGTGCTTCTAATTCCTTTGATGAGTTAGCTTGACTGCCTAGCGGGCAGGGGACGCATTACAGCCGGTGGGGCTGGGATTTTACAGCCGGTGGGGCTGGGATTTTACAGCCAGTGGGGCTGGGATTTTACAGCCGGTGGGGCTGGGATTTTACAGCCGGTGGGGCTGGGGTTTTACAGCCGGTGGGGCTGGGATTTTACAGCCGGTGGGGCTGGGATTTTACAGCTGGTGGGGCTGGGATTTTGTTTGTTTATTACTGTTATTACTGTGCTCCCGTTAATACCTGTGATATACTGGGACCAGCCTGGTGGGTGAAGGCTGAGAATTGTTATACTTCAATTATTTGGCACCGGTGATTTTAACATGTACATGGCCATTCTACTTTCTGTCATTCTGTGGTTTTTGTTTAACTGTTGTTACAGCGTGGGTACCCTTGGTGTGTGTGTGTGTGTTGCGTGGTTAGTTCTGGATTCGGGAGTTTATGCTCATTTATACGTTTGTGATTTTTGCAAATGTCTTCTCATTAGTGCAGCCACGTTCATCTTCTCTTTTGTGCTTTATCTCTCCTGTGCCTGTGACCCAGAGCTGTGTTAGTCACCCACGCTCATTTGCTCCCGTCCGCGGCCACCACCCCGGGTGGGCGGACCTCCGTGACTAGTCTACGTTTGGGGAAGACGCACGGGGCTCAAGTTCTCGTGGCAGTCGAGCACTGTAGACACTCTTTTTCCCTTCTTTCCTCATACCTTCTCTATTCATCTGTCTTTAACGAGTGGCACGCTTTGATTAGTCAAGATGGGACAGGAGCATGCTAGACCTGCTAAGGGTTTGTTGGCTTGTGACATTGTGAAAGAAAGAGCAGGGGAAGATGCAATGATGAAACTTAAAAAGGTTGCTAAGGTGTGTGGCTTTCAGATGTTACCCAGTGGGAGGTTGCAACCGGAGTTTTGGAGGAAAGTACTCATAGACAAGGAAGGTTTATTGTTGGATAACGGACTCACGAAGGTTGCAGAGGCTTGGTATCGTGTAGCTAGAGGTTTGAAAAGGGAAGGATGGGTCGAGGAAGAGTTGGAGTTTGAAGGGCAGATCGTACATGTTTACCATAGGAGTGTTCACAATGATGATGTTGTTTCTATTGTTCCACGGCCACCACCCTATGATGGCGCCCAGAGCGCGGCAGTAAATTCCCGCCCCATTTCACCCGTCACAGCACAGACTCCACCCCCCAGGGGTGTGTCTTCAGCCCCCACCCCTCTATGTCCCGTACTTGGAGTAGATGGAGCCTATTATTTCCCAATACCACAACACTCGTTCCCACCCACTCCTATGCATCAGCCCTCCTGTGACCAGGTCCCCTCCTCCAACCATCCTCCTGTCATGTCCGTTGGAGCTCCCCCACCTCCTTGCCCTCCGTTACCTCCCTCAGTGCCTGTCTGCACCCCGAGTTCTGCCCCAACTACTCCCGCCCCGACTGTCGAAGTTCCATCCTCCTCCCCCTCTCAGCCCTTCTCCACCCTGAGTACCCCGTCCCTAGTAATCTCTGCCCCCTCAACCTCTCCGTCTGCCCTGTGCCCTACGGCCCCTGTTCCCATCCAACCAACCAACCCCGACTCCCGGGACCCCTGTCCCCCAGTTGGCCCTCCAGTCCCAGTACCCTTGGGAAACCCTGTGATCCCTACCCCTGTACTCCCATTGTCCCCCATTTCTTTTCATCCACTCCCCTCCTCCTCCTCTTCCAAGGATTCCCCGTCCCTACTCTCCGCTCTCCTGAATCTTGTCCAGCCCGTTAACCCCGGTTCCCTTGCCTCCGTCCCCTTACCCACAGACCCCCCTTCCATCCTCAAGGATCCTCCTCCCACCCCTCCTGAAGTCCCAGCCCCCTCTACCTCGTTGCCTCCCACTCCCGCGGCCGATTTGCCGTCCCTGATCTCTGCCCTCACCGCCCTAACCCAACCCCCGTTGTTATCCCTCCACCTCCTTTTTCCGTGTTCCCTCCTCCCGATATCCCTGCCCCTCCGACCCTGTCACAACCCCCCGATTCCGTCCCTCTGACCCCTCCCCCAGCGACCTCTGACGCACCCATAACCAGTGATTTGCCTAATTCAATATCCGCCCTCTTCACTGCTGTTACCTCCCTGGTTACTTCCGCAATCCCCGTGCCGCCTCCTATTGACGTACCTCCTCCTCCTCCTCCCGAGTCTCCGACCCCACCCTTGTCTCATGCCGATACCTCCGAACCCTCCGATCCAATCTCTGTACTCGCACATGTTCTGAACACCCACCTTTCACGCCCAAGCCAACCGACCCCTCTTACTGCCCCTTCCACGGCTTCGGTCCCTCATGTCCCTTCCGCTAGTCCTAGTTACCCAATCATGGTGGTTGGATCTGAAGTGTCTGGGACATCTGACCAGCCCTATGCGATGGGTGCCTCCCCCCAGGCCTCAGGGTTTCACCCTACTACCTCCCCCCCTCACCGCCCTTCCTGTTGTCCCCGCTACTGCCACCCCTGAGACTACTCTTCGCCGTGGCCCAGTGGCGCCCGAAGAGGTTGTTATGGTTGACCAGAGTTCGCCCCACCTAGGGGTGAATAGGCCCCCTCCCCAGCACTCTATCCCTCAGGGATATCCCCAGATCACCCATGGTGCGGATGGTGCACCGCCTATGTATGTCACCTTCAAGCCTTCCCAAGCTGCTACCCTCGTAACCTCGCTCCCTGATCCTGAAAAACACCCCATGCCCTTCTTCCGCAGAATGGCTCAAATCCGCAAAACATACTCTGCTGCCTGGAGAGATCTTATTAGTCTATGTGAAATAAAGGCTGGAGATGCATACTGGCCAATCATGGAACGGAGTTTTAATGATGCTCCACTGACTTCTGATACTGACTTTCGCTCTGGTGAAATTTTTTGTGAACAGCTTCGTGCCTGGGCACAGGATAAATTAGCAGATCAGGCTACTTGCATTAATGACATATTACAGGACAAACTTGAGACTGTTGAAAAGTATCACTCTAGGTTAACCCAGACCTTTTCAGACTTAGGGTTCAGTACTTACAACAAAGCACACACCCAGATGCTTTCTGCAGCTTTTGTGGCAGGGCTTAGGGAACACATTCGTAAGGGGTTGATCTTAGCTCGCCCTGAGTATAGAATTATTCCACTGGACACTCTTTTGCTGGTAGCCAAGGGCTTAGAATCTGTAATGCTCCCCACACAGCGTAGAACCAACCCTCTGATGTATGCTGCCTCCGCCCCGATTGTAGGTCCAAATCAGGGTCCACAGATACTCCCCCCCCAGTACACTCAGTCCCCCCAGACGCTGCCTGCACCGCTTCCTTTCTCCCGAGACCGTGACCGGACTGTCACAACAATCCGGACTTGTTTTAATTGTAACCAGCCGGGTCACTTTAGAAGAGATTGTCCACACCCTAGAGTGTACCGCCAACAGACCCTCCGGTACCAGAATCCCCATGTCACCGGCTACCACTTCCCCTCCACTGGTTATCCCCCCGCCCTGCCCCATCCGCAGTTACCTCAGCTCCCTCCTCCGCCTCCTCCTCCACCACCTCCTGAATACTCCCAAGCCCGGCTCCCTGTAACAGAGGCGCGTGCATACACTTCGCCCTCCGCTGAAGGGTATGATACTGATGACTTCCAGGATAACCAGCCTCATCCCCGCCATGCCCTCCGTCCATCCCGCCCCCCCATGCAAGCTGCTACCCCTCCCTCCACTTCCCGCCGGTACCAGGGCCCAGATCAGGCTCACCTAGATTTATTGCAATAGGTAACTGGCAAGCCTGTGTCACCAACCCCTGCCATGGCAGTGTCTGCGGGGGATGGGGGAGGACCTTTAGCTACTGTAGTTCTCCCCGTGGAGGGTCACCCAACAACCTTTTTAGTTGACACAGGTGCAGCCCGTAGTGTCCTTAGGGAACAAGACCTGCCTGACCCTTCTTTCCTTTCTAACACCGATGTTTCATGTGTTGGGGTAGATGGCACACCACGCAGTAACCCTCTTACCAAGCTCTTACACGTAGGTTCACACATTCTGTCCCGGTTTGTTGTTTCCTCTACTTGCCCCATTAACCTCCTAGGTGCAGATGTTCTCTCCCGGCTCCAGGCCTCTATTACCTTTACTGCAGATGGTCAGGTTGAGTTAACAACCCCTTTATCTCAAAAAGATACTTCTGTACTATGTTCCCTCCCCATCTTGCTGAATCTAACAAACAATTCAGGGACTGCACGGGTCACACACACCCCCAGTGCTCTGGATCGTATCCCTCAAGAACTTTGGTCCACCGGGCCGGATGATATTGGACGCCTACATGTACCCCCCGTCTTGGTCAAGCTCCTGCCTGGGGCCCTTCCTCCTCGCAGACCTCAGTATCCTCTGAAGCCTGCACAAGCTGAGGCCATCACCAAACAAGTTGAATCTCTGCTTACCAAGGGTGCCCTCACCAAGTGCACTTCTCCATGCAACACCCCACTCTTCCCTGTTAAAAAGCGCACTGTTAAGGGCCAACCCGACCAGTACCGCATGGTACAAGACCTCCGTGCTGTAAATGAAGTTACCATAAAGGACACTGCCATTGTTCCAAACCCCCATACCCTTTTGTCCCAAGTGCCACCAAATTCAACAATTTTTACTGTAGTGGACCTGGCTAATGCCTTTTTCAGTGTCCCCCTTGACCCTTCCTGCCGTTTCCTTTTCGCCTTCACACATGAAGGACAACAATATACCTGGACTGTAATGCCTCAAGGGGCTCAGAACTCTCCCACACAGTTTGCTCGTGCCATGTCTCTGGTTTTGGATCCCTGGCAGAAATCTCATCTGGATGTTGTTCTACTTCAATATGTTGATGACCTCCTACTATGTGCTCCTAATTTACTTATTGCAGAACGTGACTCAGAAGATCTTCTATGCTTTCTCGCTGCTGCAGGATGCAAGGCCTCCAAATCAAAGCTACAATGGTGCCGGCCCTCTGTGGTCTTCTTGGGACATTGCCTTTCCCATGGCACCAAACACCTAACTTCACAACGGGTGCAAGCTATCCTGCAACTCCCATTACCTGCAACCCACCATTCTCTTCATGCTTTCTTGGGTCTCATCACATACTGCAGATCTTGGATACCTGAAGCTTCCAAACTCATGCAGCCACTCTATGGTGCCCTCAGGAGTGAGCCCTTTCACCTCACTGAAGAGACTATTAACTGTTTCCGTACTCTGAAAAGAGCTATTGCCTCTGCACCTGCTTTGGGCCTACCCAACTACCAACTCCCTTTCAATTTGTTTGTCTCTGAAAAATCAGGACATGCTTCCGGAGTCCTTACTCAGAAACATGGGACCAGACAACGGCCCATTGGCTATTTTTCCTGTATGCTTGACCCAGTTGCAAGGGGTAGCCCCTCTTGCCTCCGTGCTGTGTTTGCCGCCAGCGCTCTCCTGGATAAGACTAATGACTTTGTTCTCGGCCATCACCTCACAGTGCTGGCCCCTCATGACATTACTGCTATCCTCCAACAAGTTCAGCCTAAACACCTTTCCTCCCAACGCCACCTCCGCCTCCAAACCTCCTTACTTCTACCTGACAATGTGAAACTCCAGAGATGTCTTACCCTTAATCCGGCCACTCTTCTGCCACTTCCCAAGGAGGGGATTGTACACCACTGGTATAGCCTGGACATCAACCCAGAGGTTCTAGAAGACCTACAACTACCTGCACTTGCACCTCCACATGATGAACAATCAGTGGCCCTACTTCATTGCACTTTGTGGTTTAAGGATGAACCAGGCCCTGATATGAACTATGAACAAGAAGTATTCCACCTCAAAGAAATTTACATTACCC